CCCCAAAACCCCAAAACCCCAAAACCCCAAAACCCCAGAAGGGCATTAATATGATGGAATAATATTAAATACAGAAATATTATATTGTTTAAGCATTAATATTTAATAAATAATAGAGTCTACATTCGGCTCAGCATTTGCTTTTGCAATCATAAACTATTCTTACACAAATGAGTGATCAAAACCCACAACAAGATATCTCCTCTTTCTTTTAGAAATAACAGAAGAAGAACACAACCAAGAAGCAGTAGGACTCAAAGCTTCAAAACAAACAAACTAGCGATGCCAAGTAAAAGGTAAGTCAACAAATCATATAACTAGCCACAATTACCTCACCCACTTTGAGAAATACCTGTATTAATGAATTAATGTGTATAGGAAGAGTAAAAGACCGCCAAGATCGGTGGAGCTGCCAATGACTTCGAGTCATCAGACGAGGAGGACGGCCAAGGTCGCGTAGACATTGGTGTAGGCAAAGTAAAGGATATCAAGGAAGTTTAAAAGCAAAAGAAAATCGCTTAGGACGCCAAGTAGCAATCTGATTTCAAATGGGAGAGCATGGGTGGAGCACAAAAATCAAGTGCTGCTGCTCAGCAAACTACTGCTGCAACTTAGCAGCAAGATGTAAAGAAAAAAACCGCTGCCGACATCACTTTCGGCAAGAATACTAGATTCCAAGTTCAAAGGAAAGACAAAGTCGTCAATAATTAAGGCGACTTCCCAGAGCTAGGAGATGTCAAGGTCACTGAACAACCCAAGTTCGTGAAGGAAGAAATCAAGTAGCAGCCAATATAGAAATAGGAGGAGAAAAAGGATCCAGTGAGACCGACATTCAAAAAGCAGGATAAGAAGCCATAATAGGAGGAAGAAAAATAACCCGTGCCTCAATATATTCCCCAAGTTATTAAACAGCAAACCCCAGTTGTTGTTTAAGAAGAGGAGAAGAAGGAATAGGAAGAAGGACCAAAGCAGAGACCAGTATTTAAGGGAACCTTGAAGAATATTTTGAGTACAAATTTAGAGGCTAACGCAGAATTAAATAAAAATCTCCCAGAACTATAAGAAAAATTAAAGAAAGAAATAAAAATTCACGAGGCTAAACCCCCTAGAAAAGATAAGATTGAGGAAAAGAAAGCAGGTGATGACGATGATGAATTTGAGAGTGTTGAGGAGAAGAAGAGAGATTAAGGAGCCAAGAGAGGTGGCAGAGATGGAAACCACCGTGGAGGTGCCAGAGGTGGCAGAGGAGGCCACAGAGAGACTGGTGACAGAAATGGCTCGGAAAGAGATTTCAGTGAAAATAATGACAGTGCAGCTGCAGGGGTTCATCATGATAAGCCAAGACATAGCGACAAGCCAAAGGGCGAGAAGAAGCCACACAAGGAGGGTAAAGAAGATAAACCAAAGAAGCGACCAGTTGAAGAGAGACCAGACATCTTAGTCAACGAGCAAGTCGAGACCAAGTAGTTCGTAGGATGGGATAAGCTTTTTTGAATAAGTGTTGATGAAATGGCCACTAACAGTGCATGAACATTTATTTTACAATGGTATACATTTAAATATCTAGTCTACATCTAAAATTTCAATTAAACATGTTTATTATCTATATAACTAAAACCATCAAGTCACGCGATGCCTCATTCGGGTCATGAATTGACGATTTCAGCCAGTTACCTACTCAAAATGTAACATTTGTGTATGTCTTTCAATGTCTTAAATAAAGAGTCTGATTTATTTTCAATCGACTACTCACTATGCTTAGAATTACTCGTACAGTTCCATATTTCTCTTAAGGATTTCCTCAAGAGGCCCTAGCAATCTTTTGAACGAATGTCTGTCCATCGATACAACGATGCATTCAGTCTTGGCCACTACATTAGCTGCTCTTGGCTCATTTTTAAGCAAAGCTCTTTCACCGAAATAATCACCAATCTTATAATGCATAACTACCACTGGGTCTTCACCTGGATTTAAAGTCTTTGTAGCTTGAGCATCACCGCTTTCAATCATATAGAACTGATTACCCTCTTCTCCCTCCTTAATGATATATTCACCTGGCTTGAATGTGTCCTCTTTGAATGCATCTGCAAGTTTGGATCTCTCATATGCATCCATTCCCTGCAATACTTTCACACTCTGCAAGAACTTGTCATACTTCTCCCTCTTTTTACTCGCTGCATCTTTAACTATGTGATTGAAAGTATTTCTATCGAGACCCCAAAGCACAGCTTCACCATCAGCCTTTATAGTTGCTGCTCTTGGACAGTTATAGAGCAAAGCCAGCTCACCAAATGATTCTCCCGGCATGTATTTTTTTAAGTAAGTCTCCTCTTTATTTCCCGGGAAAAGTTTGTAGCAACTTAGAGTGCCGGTTTCAACAACATACAAGTAATCTCCCTCTTCTCCTTAGGTGATAATGTGATCTCCAACTGAGGCCTTTCTCTCCTCCATAGCATCAACTACTATTTGTTTTTCTTTTTCATCAAGTGCACTGAACATAAAAGCCTATCCAAGACGAGTCATAATTTTCTACTTAGTCTCGTTAGATTTAGCAACAACTCGAGCTTAAAAATCAGATTTCTTATTCCATTAACCGAAAGCTTCAGCTGATACTGATGATCTTGGTCCCTTTTTCACCTGATTTACTATTTTCTAAGGCAGATCTTCAAGATAATCATCATCATCCTATGTAAATATGTAAGCAATCAATGTTGTAAATATAGAGTATTATGGGATTCTTACATCCTCATCTGTTTCATGCTCACTTCCAACACCACTTCTGTCATTATCTTTCTCTTCCTCTTGTTAATCTTGCTTTCTTTCTTCTTTTTCTTTCTAAGTATAATTGCTTAATCATAAGAATTGAAGTTTACAATAAGAATTTCTAGTCTTTTAGCTTCTCCTCTGAGCATTTCAAGCAACGACCTGTCTCCGAATGTTGCTCTCTCTCCAAAAGACTCTCCCAGATATTTCATCATAAATTTAGCCTAAAGTCAACATTAACACCAAGATATTTAAATACCTGGTTATCAGGTTTGTTCTTGATGACTTCAAGCATCATTGGCTCTAGGATGTCATTCACATGTCTGTTTAGATATTCTCGATTATGCTAATCTCTCCTTGCTGTAGAACTCGTAGACATTTTATTAAAATTCCAAATTGACTTTATTAATTTTATTTTAAAGTAAGAATGAAAAATATTTGTAAAATTGCATAAATGGGGTTTTGGGGTTTTGGGGTTTTGGGGTTTTGGGG